GAGCGAAACATGATTGATATACCTGGTTGCAGTGAACGAACAAACTTTATATCTATACGAGAAAAATATGGTCAAAATGTTGTTTCGAGGCTTCGAAAGCTCGTCAACATGAAGATTCGTATTGCCAAATATCGTAGTCATTTGTATTTCAATCATCGGTGCAAGGAAAACAAAGTTTTACCGTTCAGCTTGCGATTCAAACCTCCAATACGGAGTAAAAAGGGATACAAGCTAATGGAAAATACTGGTTTTTCTTTCCTGAGGTTGCGTATAAACGATTGTCATCAGTCTATACAGCGTCTGCGCTCTGATTGCCAACGTTTACTCTGCGAGCTTTCTGATTTGATCGACTGCTCTGAAGTCCTATGGATCGAAGAGTTTTGTCGTTCGCAATTTCGCAAAGAGTCGATCAAACAGAGAGAGAAGCATGACAAAAAATTGCTGCGTCTGATTGGAACGAAACCATCTGATAAATCAGGTTCGAATCTTAAAAAGAGATGGGTTAAAAACCTTTCATCTAAAGAGCTAAGTGAGTTGGAAAGGAAGGGTCTTGAACACGGCCTAAAATTTGCGGTTGTGCCTAACAGAATTCCAACAGCCGAAATCATTGCTTCAGTGGAAGAAGGAATTTTTCCACTAGACGATGATGCTAAGCGATTGGTAAGAGCTGAGGTCAGTAGCATTCTTAGACGTGCCAAAATACCTCCAAAAAACATTGATTCAAATGTTTTCAAAGCTTTACTTGCTCTTAAAAAAGATCCGGACAGGGCTATACTTTCAGCGGACAAAGGCAATTGCGTTGTTGTTATGGACAAACATGATTATCGCGAGAAGGCTCTTTCACTGTTGAATGACAGAAATACGTATTCTATTCTCAAGTTTGATCCTACTGGAAAGACTCAAAGAGGTTTAAACGCCAAGTTACTTCTCTTGAAGAAGTCCAATATTATCAGCAAGGCTGCATATGAAAAGTTATACAGCAGTGATGGACTATCTCCGCGTTTCTATGGCTTACCGAAAATCCATAAACCGGAAATTCCATTGAGACCTATTGTGTCCTTTGTGAATTCTCCTACATATGGAGTTTCAAGTTTTTTGGCGAAAATTTTGTCCCCTGTAGTGGGAAATACCGAAAACACTGTCAAAAATTCCTGTCATTTTGCAGAATTTGTAAGAGGTAAAACTCTTAAAGCAGATCAAGTGTTGGTATCATTTGATGTCGTTTCCTTGTTTACAAATATCCCAGTTGATCTTGCCATCAAGGTTGCGGCAAAAAGACTAAGACAGGATGCCACTTTGTTACAAAGAACATCCTTGCCTGTAGAATATATTATTGATCTTCTGTCTTTTTGTCTCAACGCCACATACTTTGTGTTTGAGGGCTGTTATTATCAACAGGTTTTTGGAACAGCGATGGGGTCACCAGTTTCGGCAGTAATTGCTAATTTAGTAATGGAAGATGTCGAACAAAGAGCTTTAGCCTCAACGTTTCGTCGATGATGTCATCTCTGCGGTTTCTACAAATGAGATCGATATTCTGCTTCAACATTTAAATTCTATTGAGCCGTCCATCCAATTCACGGTAGAACGTGAAATAAATGGACATTTAGCTTTTTTAGATTTGAATGTACACAGAACTGTCGAAGGGAAGTTAGAGACTGATGTTTATCGCAAACCCACACACACACAGACAAATACTTGTCATACGACTCTCATCACCCAGTAAGCCATAAAAGATCCGTAGCAAAAACTTTGCTTCAAAGAGCTGAATCGTTGCCGTCAAACAGTGATTCTCAAGCTAATGAACGTACGAATATGTTCTAAATGTTTTAGGGGAAAACAATTACCCAAAGCGTTTTCTTAATGATTGCCTGAGACCACCTGTTTGTAGGAACCAAAATAACTCCGAGGGTGATACCTCTGTTAAGGGTTTTGCAATAGTTCCATACATTCAAGGTGTCTCAGAACCAATCAAGAGAATCTTAAGTAATTGTAATATTAAGGTTGCCTTAAAACCCTATTTGACTTTAGGCCATATTTTCGCAAAGCCAAAAGATCCTGTTGAAAAAATCAGAAGACTCATGCTATATATTCTATACCATGCGGTGACTGCGACAAAGAGTATTTGGGTCAGTCTAAGCGCCAGTTTGGTACACGGCTAAAAGAACATCAAAAGGCTGTTTCAACTTTAGACAAGGGAAAATCAGCTTTAGCCGAACATGTATGTTACACCAAATACGAGATTGCGTGGGAAAACTCTAAAGTAATTACCACAAACAATCGCTATGGTCAAAGACTTTGCCTAGAAGCGTGGCATATAAATATGAGTCATCATGCTTTGAATAAGGATGACGGCGCCTATTTGCCAGAAGAATATATGCATCTTCTTGGCAGGTGACGTCATCCCTTGGGTATTTAAGAAGCCACGATCGCAGTTTTAGATCACCCCTGATGAAGACACTAGACTGGAGTGTCGAAACGTTTTAAAAAAAGGGGTCTTGATTACAATTCGACTGCGCTTTGTAATCATTTATTTAAACCAGAGTAGCGAGCGAAACATGATTGATATACCTGGTTGCAGTGAACGAACAAACTTTAAGTCTGATAATATCAACAAGTTTGTTACAACTGTTAACAGTTTGTTCCAAACTTGTTGACAACTTGGGACAAGCAGTGCGAATTACACAACTTGTTGACGCCTTGCAAGATTTTTACGTGTAATCTTGTATTCCTTTCTTCCTGCAACGGGGCAGTTGAGACTTGAGTGCTCACGAAAATAATCTGTTTGTACGATTAATTTTGTCTTATGCCAGTATGCGAGAAGAATGACTCCAAACAGCCATACAGCAGTCGAGTTGAGCGTTCCTTAGACTATGCTTACACGAGGGGGATGAATTCAGAACTGCACGAGGGTGCGATAATCCAAGATTTTTAGTCGTACACACGTAGAAATCTCACAACTTGTCAACAAGAAGTGTTCGCAACAGGCTTGTAGCAAGCTTGTCAACAAGTTGTAACAATGTTGTTATTTTATCAAGTTGCTACAAGGTTGTCATTCACAAGTTGTTGACAAATTGTTGAATTGCAGGACGACAACAAGTTGTTGGAACAACTTGTAACAAGCCTGTTGAGCTCAAAAGCCTTGTATAGTATTAAAGTTGTCAACAAGCCGTTGACAACTTGTCAACAAGCTGGGAACAAGTAGTGCGAATACATCCTGTTGACAAATTGTCAGAACAGCATTGTAACAAGTCTGCTGTAGGTGTGTTACAACTTGTGTGTTTTAGGTGTTTTTACAAATTCACACAAAGTACAGGTGTCTGAATTAAGGCATTCAAACTACGGGAACAATTGTATATACAAACACTGCAATCCAGTCCCATCAGTGCAATCATGTTTCATTCCAAAACATGTCAAACTTACACATATACGGACTAAACTATGGTTTTGAATCCTTAGCATGGTACTACCACAAAAAGTAAGTACGCAAATAGCAAGAGTTCCGCGTACATACGTGGTACGTGGCTGAAAAGGAAGGAGTACCAGACCGTAATATTGGCGTATACCTCCGGTACGTAAGTACGCGAATTATTGCATCCTGATAGATGTGCATGAGTTTCATTGTTTTGATCACGTATAGGACATATGTGCTCATTGGATGAGTTGCAGTACACATGTAAAAACACACAAGTTGTTATAGGTTTGCAAACAAGTTATTGGAAATTTGTGGACAAGTTGTGTTCGCACTGCTTGTTCCCAGTTGTTGTAACAAGTTTGGAACAAGCTGTTCACAACTTGTAACAAGCTTGATGGCATTATCAGATTTGTTACAAGGTTGTTTTTACAAGTCTGATACAGTCATGATCAATAACAAAAATGTTACAAGGTTGGCGGCGCAAGGTTGTTACAATATTGTTATATCATGACTGCATCAGACGTGTTGGAACAACCTTGCAACAAGTCTGATAATATCAACAAGGTTGTTACAACTGTTAATTAACAACTTGTTGACAATTTGGGGCAAGCAGTGCGAACACAACTTGTTGACGGCTTGCAAGATATAAGATTGTATATGTATTCCTTCCTTCCTTCCTTCCTAATTTCGTCTTATGCCAGTATGCGAGAAGAACGACTCCAAACAGCCAGACAGCAGTTGAGTTTAGCGTACCTTAGACTATGCTTACATGAAAGGCCAGCGCCACGCAATCAAATTTGCACGAGTTTCCCTGTTGCGATCACATAGTTTGCTAATAACACAATCAAAAAAGGTAATATGTGCATGAATTCAATTTCAATTTCAATTTATTAAAAGATACCAGTTTTGCAGTTAAAAACTGAATTACACTGGTTTACATGCATATGAGTAAAAATGTCTACAAACACTCCTTATTTACAAGTTGTTAATTGTGATAGTTCTAGGTAAGAATATAGCTAAACAATTATTATTTAAAACTGGAGTTGTAGGCCTTACTACCGGCCATGATAAAACTACTAGCAAACCTACTTGTCCTATGCTTTGGTATTCAAAGACAATTATCATTCCGTAGAGAATATCCTGTTTTATATCTTGGGGGAACGAGAGAATGGAGTTTATGGGATGATTCATCACACATTTGAGCGAAAAGTTTCTCGCAAATGGTCTTTCTCCGCAGGAACAGTGACACCACCCCAGCACGTACCAACGCATCTTCATATATATTTGAGATCAGGAAAGATTATACGAAGGGCTCTGCGTTGAATACTCTCGATCTCGTCGCTCAAGTATTGTGCCAAGCTATAGTGCCATTCCTCGCACGAAAATTCTAAGATTGGTCGAACGCAGGTAGTAAAAACCCGAACTAACTTGCTCGCTGGTATAGAGGCTCTCTTAAGTAATTGTAAGGCATACAACCGCTTCGAAGCTTTCTTGCAGATATAATCAACGTTCTCGATCCATTTAAGATCTTTAGAGATCATGACACCAAATAATTTAGCATGCGGAACCACAACTATATCATGACCGTCAATGGTGATCGGCGGAAGAGGCCCGGGATCAAGAGGAGAAAACCCAACATGAACTTCTTTTGTTTTTGTAGGGTTCAGTTTCATGTTATTCTCAGACGCCCATTCAGTAGATTCTGTAATTTGAGACGGTAGGACCGAGTTGGATTCTTGACCCTTCAAGACGATCTCACAGATAGTGGTGTCGTCAACAAATTTCACTGTATCGTCAGAAACATTCAAGTCGTTCACCATAATGAGGAAGAGGAGGGGGGCCAGTTTGGTTCCTTTGGGGACTCCTCCGTTGGTAGTTCTCCAACTCGAAAAATTATAGCCAATTCTTGTTCTCTGACTTCTGTCGGTGAGGAAGTTGGCAATCCAATTAATTAAGATAGGATGTACGCGCATGTTAATGAGTTTCTGCATCAGAATGTTGAAATCGATACGGCCAAAAGCTTTGGAAAAGTCTAGCATGCATATCCGTAGGCAGGCTCCAGGTGTGTCCATCGCTTCGTACCATTTATGAAGCAGGTGTATTAGCGCCATGGTGGTGTTGAATCCTTTAATTGAGCCAAATTGGAGCTTATCGATTTGGTCGCGGATGACTGCAAGAGCCAGTTATATGGAAATGATTCCAGAATCTTACTCACTATGGGCGTGAGCGATATCGGTCGAAAATCAGAGTCAACATCCAGGGCAGGGGAAGACTTTGCTGCAGGAATAACATTTGCAGATTTCCACAGGGATGGAACACAACCATCATGAATAGAGGCATTAAATATGGATGCTAATGGGCGACATAATAACGAGGAATTTTCACGGAGGAACCAAGACGTGATTTCGTCAGGACCTGCAGCTGAAAAGGACTTGACGGATTGTAATGCTTAATTCTCGATGTCGTCGACTGAAATGTAAAAGTCGGGAGGAATATCACCGACTTCGAGCGGCGTCCAAGCAAGCGGAGGCAGGGAATTCCAACGGCAACAAACTTGTCATTGAACAGGTTGGCCAGAGCCGAAGCGGAATAGGGCTGTCCGTTGTACACAATTGTGGAAACGTTTTTAGATGGGGCAAGGCCAGCAATATTTTTGACAGCGGACCACCACTTCCGTGAATTCGACTGCATGAGTGGAATTAGCGACATTGTTGGTATAATACTTTGAGCGAGCACGCCTACACAAGTGATTAATTTTGTTCCTATAGAATCGACAGCTTGTTTCCTTTCCTCCAGGTTACTTGGCGTTTCGATATTAATCTTTTTATCTCCGGAGTGAATCCAGGGCTTATCGCTGCTGTCAGATTTAATACGTTTCAGCGAGAGATATTTATCAACAATACCATCGACAATGGAAGAGAAATATTGGAACTGTTCGTCACAAGAGCTCAGATGATACATTGGAGACCAGTTAACACTGGACAAACGTTACACCAGTTACAAACGGGGAATTGATAATCAATTTTAACGGCTTATAACATTTCTTCTAGGGCCTTCCCAGTGCGAATAGACCTTTCCCCTTATGAGTGCACAATATGTGTTGGATTTTGATACGTCTCTTTTAGAGTATAATCATACATATTAGGCATTTTTGATATTAAATTTAATGATGCGATTCCAGGTCTTAAAAACCATAATGATAAAATAACAGTTGAAAATCGATCCCCAACTATTAACGACTTAAAAGGTTTTGTAATGGCTCATTTAAATGTTGCCTCTCTTCCCAAACATATTGATGAATTAAGATTACAATTAACTAAACAGTCCCTAGATATTTTGAGTATCAATGAAACAAGATTAGATGACACAATAAACGATGGTTTAATACACTTAAATGGTTATGACGTTTTACGTAAGGACAGAAATAGAATGGGCGGTGGAGTAGCCATTTACTTTAGAGATAATATAAATATTAAAAACCGAAATGATCTTGTGCCTGATTCTCTAGAAGCGTTATGTGTTGAAGTTCGGAAACCTAAG